AGCCAACAAGCGAATGGGTCATATACACAATAGTTTGAATGCTTGCAAGCTATCTTTAAAGATCACTCAAAATGGTTAAAGGTCGTATTTGATCTTAACTTGGAACAATGCAGGAGTATTTGCCCCGCCTGCCCCCCCCCCCCACCGAGAATTTGGTTTTATAAGTTCAGGATAAAGATTTATGGGAATTCATGGTGAGCAACCTGTGCTTCCCAATTTAATTGAAAATGTCTCTTGATTCAGTTTTAAAAGCCTACTTGGCAAGAAGGTGACAATGCAAATTGGTGGCAGGAAAGGACAAAAAAAGAGGGCATGGGTTTTGCCCTGGCCACCATTATCTTCAGCCTTCACTGCCTGCAGGAAATCCATGAATGTTTTTCTAACATTCCTGTTTTGGACTTGTTTTATTACTATTTGGGGGGCTATTTGCTGGTAGACAACACATGCAGGATGTATCATTGTTCTTTGCACAATTTTTCCACTTGCTGTGATTAGGGAAGGTGGCTTTGAGAATGGCCAAGACGTTCTCAAATGGTCTGAAAGATGTTCTAGAGCCTTCTTCTCAACCCAGTGCATTCAAGCTAAGTTGGCCATGGCTCCCGTCATCCAGAGTCAGCAGAACCAGCACAATTGGGTTGCAGTAGATTGAGGAAGGCTATTCTAGACTACATTCTCCAGTCTTGTGGTGCATGGGTTAAGCTGGCACTGGTGCCCTTCAGGAGGCTCACAGGATACAACATAACATTCCCTTGGATCACTCAATCAAAATTCATGCATGTGCACGGTAACAACATATTTTAGAGTTAGATCAGCTAGTAAGGGACAACTTATCTTTCTGGAAAGCTCTTTCAGTATTAATGATTTTTCCACTGAATATATTTCTCTGGCAGCTGATTTACACACACCATCTAAAGAGCTATAGGAATGATCCATAAAAATGATACTGCATTAATCACTAATAATTTCATGGACTCAGTGAACATTTAATTTAGAGGATTGTCTGGTAGGTGGTGATCTTTAATGAAATATTCAGCTAAGACCTATAGTATAAAACATACAATTAATTACTACGCTTGACCTGGCAGGTGGAGAAATCACAGAGGATAAAGTAGTTGCTCTACCTCCTATGATTTCCCACATGATGCACTTCAAGCAAATGTTGCTTCTTTGACTATACAAAACTCAGTCTACACTAATTTGTTGCAGAAGCCACGGACACCGGATGGTGCTTCATAAAAATGGCTTTTTTAAACCAAATAGCCAGTGGGTCTTGAATCAAAGAGTCTTCGAAATCTCACAGTCTTGTTCTGCAGCAGCTTGTTCTGCAACAAGCTTTGAATCATGACTAGGCATTACTGAGTGCTGATCAGCAAACATTATTCTAAGCAAGGGCATCAAATTCTGGGTCATACAACTTTAGTCCTTAATATCTGAATTCTGTATGCATATTACTGGCTAGAATTTTAGTGCTTCTCCTACCATTGTATCCTGTTTTACAATTTGACATGAATAAAAATGGTGTCAAAAGAGGATCCAACAATTGTGTTAATGCTACAGAAATATGCCCAAGACCTTGGAGATAAACGCAGTGATATTTTTTTAAGGCAGTGATGTTAAAAAATCTATGTGCAAAACCTCCATTTCTTCCTCATCTCTTGGTCACCCTGTCCATCCAAATTTTCCTGTTTGGCAAAGGATTTCTAGTAGTTTTCTAGCACTATTTTTATATATGTTTTGCAAATTTGGGCTTTGTATTGAAATGTTTCCCAATTGTAGTAATTACAATTTTCTAAAGAACTTAAGAAACAAAATATATATGGTGTTGGGAAAGAATCACGTTGACAAGCACTAGTCATCTTTAGTTCCCTTCAAGTTTAACAAAATTTAAGCCTTAGAGGCATCCAGGAGAAATGCATTTGGCAGTCGGCTAACATAAAAATATGCAGAGAAAGAAAGAAAAGCATTTAAGCAGGAACTAGAAGTTGATAATACCTCTTGAGTTCTGAGCTTAACTAAAGCATTGCTTTTGCTTCAGAAAAAAGCTGCTATAAGAAATAATTCTGTCTTCCTAATACAAGCTCCAATAATAAAAAATCAGCCATTTCCCCCACATGTTGTGAAGTTAGCTAGTTGTTTGATTTTTTTAAAAAATAATAATTTAGAAGCTGCAGCAATTTACCCCATTATCTGCATTTAATTCATTTAAATCCCTCTATCTTCACCACAGGACCCTTGCCCTTTATTTATCTGACCTTAGAAATGGAGGAAGATTCATATATGCCTAGCTTTTCTGGATTCTGAGTTGTACTGATAAGCCATTCTCATCTTCATAAACTGCTAGAGGAGGACACTTATATTAGAAAAGGGGAAATAATGTGAGAATATGTGATTTCTGTAAGGGCAGCAAATCTTTGCATGCTGAAACTGGGCAAACAGAAGAGGAAAAGGAAAATGGAGCGATGACTCTTCTTAGCAAGCATGTTTTGTTAGTCACAGGAGTTTCCAATTTCCACTCTATTACCAAACATATCATTAAAATATAGCTAAAGTCCAAACCCACAAGAAGAGGCCATCAAGATAACAAAAGAGACAAGTGGAACCACAACAAAAAGATGTTTGTGAAATCTTTAAAGCAGGGGTGGGCAATCCATGACTCATCTATGGACCCCAGTAACCATTTATGATCCATCAAGAACCTGATAGTGTGATGCTAACATCTGGCAGCAAAATATCCAATTGTTGGTGATATAAAAGTGGCATTGGAAGTTCCATTCCTACCCTTAAATCTTCCATAAAATTAAAAAAACAAAACAGCCCCAAATCCAGCTGACATTGAAAAGTAGTGGCACAATTTTAGGCTCTTTTTAGAATTGTGGGTGTGTGTGGCTTAAGGATGGGGAATTATAGTGATTGGTTTTCCAAAGACTTTCCCCAACTTTCATGGCCATCCTTAAAACCCTGTCCTTGGGCTGAAAATATTTGGCCCAGTCCTTTCTTGTGACACCATCACAGTTTCCTGTGGCCCTCTGGAAGGTTCTGAGGCCAAGTTGCCAGCCTCAGCTCCTGGAATGTCGTCCACCCCTCTCTTAAAGCATTGCCTGAAGGTATTCATCTCTGAATTAAAAGCTACTTCACATGCAATACAAAACATCTGGATTTTCTTATCAATTGGGGAAATGTAAAAGATGCCAGTTCTCTAACAAATGTACCTATATCAGTTTCATGTCTGTTAGCTCTCCCTAGAAAAATCAGAACTGGAGAAGAACAGCAATTGAACAATCCTCTTTAAACTTGGGTTAATACAATCGATCAAGAAAAGACTGACATGAAAACACAAAAATTCCAGCAAGTACTCTTGTTTCAAATGTGGAACACATTTATAGGCAATTCAAAGCCATTAGATTCTGGCTTTATCTTCTGAGAAGGAAGGCTGACATAGTAGTACTAGAATGTGAGAAACCTCTTTATAATATGCACTGGAGCAGTGGTGTCCACAGGGTACAGTCAAAAAAGTTAAGATGATGGCTGTGATGGTGCAATCAAAGTTCTACCCATTTTTTAATGGGCATATGTATGACACACACAAAAATGGGCAAAGCTTTGATTGCACCATTGTGGCTGACATCTTGACTTTTTTGAACATAGCCTGTGGACACCTCTATGCAGCTGGAGGGACCACTAGGGGAAAAATCTGACATGCATGCTTAAAACAGTACATATGAAGACATGGTACACCATATAACCCAATACCTTCTCAGGAAGGGAGCATTTTTACTATTCCCAAAAATTCAAAGACATTGCTGAATTATGGGAAAAACATGAGAGGCTGAACAGCTTACTAACCAATTCTAATGTGCATTTCTCCCTCACTTGGTATTGGCTTTATTTAAGTGGAAGGAAGTCAAGAATGATGCTGGTTTCAAACATGGCTCCTCGAGGCTTCCCAGACTAGGTGGAGCCAAAAAACATTACTTTAAAAAAACAAAACAAAAACAAGTTTGAGAGGCAGTGAAAGGGTTCATCAGAAACTTAAGGCATCAGTTTCACACCTTAAGAACCCCCAAACTCCCTTCTAAATCATAGCCTTAGCCCCATCCACGTGAACCCCTGGTTTAGTGTGGGTTGCATGAACCCAGGCATTGTGGTTTGTAAACCACACATTATGGCTCAATGCAAAGTGTAAACACGGCAAATCATGGCTTATTCAGCAATCTTCAATCAAACGATAAATTAGGGCAAAATGTGAACTCAGTTTCTACATTTCCAATACATTCAGCAATAATTGTGTAGCTGTGGATTTAGGAGATCCCTAGGAACCAAGTTGAGGAGAGAAACAATGAGGCAACATAACCCACCATGAAATATTATGCAAGATAGTTAAATGGATTGGCCCAAGAACCAATCATACAGACACATTCATAAGGACAATAATTTTAGAAAGATTTTTGAGGGCACACTTAGTTACACACTGATCTCTCACCACATGTTTAAAACTCCTTGATGAACAGGCTCTGCTGCTAAATTCCAGCACTTCTATTACACTCAATGTGTCTATGACAGCTGATGTTAAAAATCCTACCGATCTGAAAAGACTTCACGTGGTTCCATTACCAATCATGTAAGACTTCATTGGTCAAATTTGAACACAGTTATGTTTTATGAAAAAATCTTTTCTTTTTCTTTTTGACTATCTTACAAATACAACCCAACTTCCCCTGACTATCTACAGGACACTAAAAAGTGCCTCTGTATTTACATGTAGGCTAATAAAAATGAGTTGTGAGCAAAGATGAAACCATTAAAAAGGGACAGCTAATCATCTAAAGAAATCCTAAAGCCTTCTGGTGGATTTTTTCCCTTTAATGTTGTTATAAACAGCAAAGTGAAATTCCAAACTAAAACTACTCTGGTAGAAGGATCTAAGCAACGTAGCAGCAAGCAATTAACTGCTTCCTTGAGCCTTCCTGCTGGAAAACAATGTAACTGGATCTTGCTTTTATAGCTGCCAAGGCGTACAATCAAGGTGGACAGGGCACCGATGCTCTCCAGATTTCAACAGAGCTGCTCTTTGATACCAAAAGTTCCCATGCAGTTCCATGTCATCCATCCTAACTGCATTTCAAAGTCAAGAATGGGATTTTATTTTATTTTAAAAATAAAATTTGCCACCACTGAGATGGGGGACATAAATGGAACGGGGGGGGGGGGAAGAGTCATACTGTGTTTGTTTCTCTAAATGATGCTGTTTTCTTCACATGCTGGCATTCATACATATAGATCTCCTAAAGGGACTTTTGCAGGGTCTTCTCAGAGTAAATGGTACTTGTCAGATCACTGGGTTTGTCTTAGCACAGTTATATGAGAAGGTCCAATCAGAACTTGTTCTACTTACGATCTGGCCAACAAATATGAAACGCAGGATGGCAAACAACTTTACTTGAAAACCAATAGCATAATGAATTCCTACCTTGACTGGGAGAAGGATAACCCCAGCGTTTTATTTCTTCTTGCTTTATGCAGTTGCTTTCCAATTGTCCTTGTGCCAGAAACCAAACCTATCTGCCTAGACCACTCGATTCCAAACTGCTGTCCTAAAGAACCATGGCATTCTTTAGAAATTGCTCATGGTTCTGGAAGGACAGATGAATGATAATGAAACTTCCTTGGCTAAAATATGAGTCACTGCATCTACAAAACTTCCCTTGTAACACGGAGCATGCACATAGAGGAAAATGCAGGATGGCAGCCTGCCTTAATCTGGTGACCCTCCAGAAGGGTGTGGTCATCTCCCAGAATTCTCAGCAATGGCCAAGCTGTCTGAAAGGTTCTGGAAGTTGAAGACCTCACACCTAGAGGGTGCATTTTACTTTGTGTAGGACTGCATTGAGTCCTAGGCAGTGTTTCACACAAATTGTCTATGTGCTCCAGAATCTTTGTATCACATGCAATCACTTGTAACAAACAAATCAACGAAGAATGGATTCCTTGAAAATAGGTTTGAATCCCTCTGGTAGAGGTGACTAGACGGGGTTTCGCAGCCCATACACACATTCCAATAAAAAGCAGAAGAAACCATTACCCAAGATTTCTCATTCATATTTGGACTTTAAAGGGAGATCAGTTCACTTCAGTCACCCTTCTCATACTCACAAGACACATGAAAACATGCGGATGCCCACATGAAAGGTGGTAAGGATGGGAGGGATCCCAAGGCGTCTCTCCAAAGTTTATCTCAGTTCGACACATTGGAAATTCCTTCAGACACCACAGAAAATTGCCACCATCAACTTCTCTTCAGCAGATAACTGGTGCTGTTTGCTTGAAACTTGCCCCCAAAAGTGGGGAAGGGGAATGTGGCATAGATAGTTGTGCAACATGTAGGTAGGAATACAGCTTGCGCACGTTTTCAAGGGACACGGCTTTTCAGAAAAATAATCAAGACCTACCAAACAGCAACAGAAGAGGCTTGTTCAAGAAATTGGAAGTCTTGTTTTCCAGAGCTGTTGTGCGCTCACCTCCATCTGGATTCTACTGAGTTGTGTGGAAGCACGAGCAAAAGGTCTTCAAGGGAGAGTTCTCCAGGCTGAGAAAGAAAGAGCACATTCTCTGCAATGGAGGCGCATGATCTTCTCCGATGTCACACCTAGGGTCACAGCCTGTCTCCAAAGCAGAACACCCTTCCCTCGGCTCCATGAGCTACGGTGCTCCTGTTCTGTGTGCACATGACGTCCTGCAGGCACATCTACGCTGGCAGTTGGGATCAACTTTTAACTGACCCAGTCAGTTGCTCCATTTTAACAAAAAACAAGGACAGTATAGCCTTTTCCATTTCACTGAGTATTATCTCTTTTTCAAATCCCTCCCTTTTCTTTTTTAATAATATCACAGGCAGCATCATATAATCATCTTTTAAAAAGAAATCCAAACAAATAAAGAAATATGCAGCTTATAAACCCAGGCTAGTATTTTATGTATATATATATATATTTATATTTATATAATTATATATATTTATAATTCTCCACTGTATACAAAAGTTTGTAAAAATGGGTGTTTAACTGTGAAAGCAATGTACCTCACAGAAAGGGAAAAAAGGAAGGAAGGAAAGAAGGAAAGAAGATGGAAAGAAGGAAGGAAGAAAGAAAGACTTAAACAGCTGTAGGTGAATTACCCCGTATTTCTACAGTGTTGTGTCTAAACGTTGTGCTGGCTTGTAAAAACAACTGGTATGCAAGATGTCCTTGCGTCAAATACTGCGCAATTCCTGTCACTGTCACTGGTTTGTCTCTGGAGCTGTGTTATCTTCTTCCTCCTTGGCCTTTCCTTTTTCCTCCTCCTCCTCTTTAATGGCCTCTATTGGTTCCGAGGACTGGTGCAATGGCATTGATGGCTCGCAACTCTGCTTGTCCTTCCCAGCTCTCCTCTCCTCCTCTTCAATTACCTTCTTCCACATTTGATGGTTCTGCAGCAGATGCTGAGTTATCTGGCAGCAAACTTTCCTCCTTTTCTTTCCTGCCAAAGGCCATAAGCAAACATGAAGCCTCATTCACATCTGGGAGAAAGGTCTGCAAAGCCTGGGTCACTTCTACATAAATGTAAGCAAGTTTGGCAGTGCCCAGCTGGAATAAAGCAAATGGGGACTATTCAGAGGACTTAGAATAGCCTTCTCTTTGGGGAACAGTGGATCCTCCAGCTTGATGGACGGATATTGCTGAAAAGGTTTTACCAATTTTGAACGCAATTATGACCAAAGTCCAACAATGATTTGTATGCCTGGCATGGGACAACCAGTGTCAATGAATACACATCTTTCCCCATCTTCCTATATCTAACATTTGTGTGATGAGGGCATACCATGTTTTTATTGTCCCATGTTTGCCCAGCCTCTCAATCACTTACAACTGACCAACATTTATCAGCCAAATAGAATAGCAGACCACAGAAGTGTGGAGTTGGAAGGAGCTGCAAGGATCATCTAGTTCAACCCCCTGCAAAGGAAAACCGATTAAACTATTCAACCAGTTAAGTCATCCAGCAACTAAGGATTCAGCTGATTAAACTACCTCTTAAAAAGATTTACATTCTGATGTGCAATGCTATTAATATGCCATACGTTTTCTAGGTCAGGAGGACACCTTAGGATTTAATTGCATAGAAATAACTCTGCTCCGGCAGCTGTAATTTCTAAACTGGCCCTAAGCAGTTCCAAAATTGTGCTTGGTGAAAGTGTCTTCCATGCTGGCATCTAAGATTCTGTGAAAACGCTTAGATTCTACCCCTCCCCAAATCTGCATTTCTTGTCTTTAGCAGCAGCTACTAACTTGGATGATAAATCTTTTCAGGAGTTTTAATAAAAGGAAATAAAACATAAAAAGAGGGAGAAAGTATTGCACAGGAATGTTTTGTCTCAAAGAAATGTGTGCATAGATTAGCACTTTGGAAGCCAAACTATTGAGTCTTTCAAGCTTTTCAACTCCAAACAAAGAGCTTTTCACTATGGGACAGCCCAAATCCAGTTCAATCCTTCATTAGAAAGCTTTCAGTTCCCTGTAGGAAACCTCCAGGTTTAATCAGAAGGAACTTCAACTCTGAACTAGCACTCCATGGTAGAACATTCCCTCCCTGGTTTCCTGGGAGATACCCCTCCCATATTTTGCAGTGCTCCAGAGAGGCCAGGAGGGTGTTACTCACAATCCTAAATTCTGCTGGAAATCATTGCAAACATAATCGTTGCAAACTACTGTAACCGCATTTGTTGCTTTTAGTTCAAATTGCATGTTGGGAGATTCTGGAAATGTAAGGACCTTGGAAAATAATTTGTACATGTGCCACGTGTTCTATCTCCAGGGAGAAGAACCCATTTTCTTATTGTTCCTTTGTGGATGCTTGGTGACATTTTTTTTTTTTTACTGTGAATTGCTAGAGTTGTCCTTTGGAGAATAATATTCTACCTATCCAAGGTCACCTGGATCATAATTCTGAATATATTTGCAGATTTTGTCTTTAATGTAGATACACTAGAGTGCCTGTGCAGAGATACTAGGGAAGTATATTACACACAACTCGCCATTTCTTACCTTGAAACCTGCTTTTGGGAGGACTGAATTTGAACCACATAGAATTTTTTCCTGACAATTCTGACTACTTAACACAACTTTGAAGGAGTGAACAAACACTGCTTTGGCTATTGTATCACTCGATCAAGGTTACAGAGCATGCAAAAAAACTGAGCAGGTACATGTGATAAAATGGGACTGGGTAATAATTAGGAGCTGGAGAAAAAACAAGAGACAAATGTATTTCTATCATGCTGTGTAAATGTTTGGACACAAAACTGTCCCAGTTGTACAGGGAAGAGAAAATGGCCTTGAGGGACAGGAGGAATAGCCTCTACCAAGGCATATAAAAGGGGCCTGAGTTCAAGGCAAGAATGTAATGTGAATAAACTTCTCAGGCAAGCCCCTCCTTAGTTCACATGATGAAAGGGAGGGGGGAAGCACATTCAGACTTTGTAAGATTTTGCTTTACAATTAACGTAGCACTGACCTACATGGCACTGGTTTCCTAGTATGATCTACTGTGAAGGGCTGACACCAACAGACTATTCTCCTCCATGATTTACCCCCTACTATAGTAGTCTATTACTGACCACTGGTCAAAGGCAATGGGTATCTCTCTTTTCAACTGGTGAACGTATTTTGGAACCAAAGACAGAACATTCCACAAATGCTTCTCCTTGGCCAAGCCAGTAACATTAAATGAAATAATCCATAATCTGTTGTCTTTGAAGAACATTCAACCCCTTGAAGCAATTGCCTCACTACCTAATGATAGGACTGGCCATGCGGAGAGGCCAACTTTTTCCTTTAAGGCAAAAAATACGATAACAGATTCTGATCTTTAATGGTGGCCAAAACCTGCTGCCTGAGTTGGCCACTTCACTGTGACTAATAGCTGAGCTGGCTGCTAGGAAGCAATGTATGGGGACGCTGGAGAAAGCTGCTTGGTCTACAGCAAAGAAAAGCCATCAATTATCAGCATTCCCACAAGGAAATGCTATTGAGGGGTACACTCTATGCCAAGATGGGTGGGACAGAATTAAAAATGAGGTACGAGCTCTTTTCTGACATTCTGAGTGTCTTTTCTGACAGTCCCTGAGACCTCCCTCCCTCCATCTGTCCATCACCTTCTTTTCTCTCACCCTTTCTCCTTGCACAGCAGGCTGCCAGGGATCCTTCATTTTTGCCAAAGTTTTCAATTGTTTGCTACCAAAAAACTTCTGAAACAACTTGTATGAAATTAGACTCAGGGCAGAGGAGGGCCTAGAGATGTAGCTTGCCCACCTGTGGCTTACAATTTGAGATTGTGTCCTAGATCAGATAGTGATGATAATTATAATAATAACAACCAACCCCCCCCCCACCCCCACATATTGTACTTCTAAGAATTCCAAAAGCTTTACATCTATTATCTAGTTGGTCTCCTTGCAACAAACCTTAAATTTGATTGAGAATAACTTTTGCGAAGTGAGTTTGGGGTGGGCACACAGGATTTTTATTGGGAAACCAGCGGGGAGGAGACAGAGAAGAATTAATCCATACCATTATTTAAAGAACGAGGACACACAAAACATACTTGGTTCATGGTTGTCACAGGAGTCCATGTCTGCTGAATCTTCTTCCTGCTCATCTGTATCTCCTGACTCATCGTTATCCTCAATCCATTTACCTGGCATCAGTCCTGCTGAGTCATAGGAGTTACACAGTGGTCCCACAATATGAGTGATGAAGGATTCTTGGAGTTTTGCTAACTGTGGAGCAGAACGGTCCATGAATGGGCTGATGGGGAGACCTAAGCTGGCTTCTTCATCACCCTTAGGAAACAGGAGACACTGTATTAATCAAAGGCAATTGGGCTGTTTTCTAGCCCCCTAACAGGGCTAACCCACCCTTCAGATGCGTTACGTCTGGAACTTCCAGATTTCCAAAGTTTAGCAATGTTGGCTGGGAATTCTTGGAGCTGTGATCCCAGGAGACCTAGAAGGTGCCAGGTTGAGGAAGATTACCGTTATGTGTAATGAGGAAAGTTAATTACTACAGGGCCAAGCATCTGTATTCATATAACAAGCTAAACTTGATTAGTTTTAACCTTGGTTAAAAGCTCTTTTATTACTGTGATTTGGTATGTTCTGTAAACCTGTTTAGTTAGCTTATAGTTAAGTATATTATATCAACTCGGAAAACAGGTCAACTCAGGAATCAGGTGATGTGTGATAATTTGAACACAGTCTTTTATTTGGTCCATTCCACTAGTCATTTTATGGTTCAAAGTACTATATGAACACAGTAAATGGATTAATTCAGCAACTACAACTGGCTCTCTCATGTAGCCCTAAATATCCCTTTCGGATGGAATTCCAAATTGTTGAGGGTTGTTCAGGGAGCTACTTTTGATTACAAAGAAGGAAACCAGTCTAAAAAAGAAACAGACTAAGCAGAGCAAAGAATCCATGATTAGAGTATATAATGGATGAGCATTTTCTGAAGAAACCTAAGTCATGCTTGCACACCTGTTGGAATATTCTGCTGTCTAACTGGGCTGGCAACAATGATTTTAAACCTGTTGACAGCCAATTCTGTTCATTTTAGCATGTCTCCTGCAAATAATTTGGTTTTGTTATGACGAATTTGTTTTTGTTGTTTCTTAGCTTTTAAGAAAGGGGGTTTTTGTTTTGTTTTTTGCATTTCAAAGCTTTGAAACCCAGAAACCCAGAAGTAAAACATTTAATTATTTAAAAGAATGGGTTAAGACAGGCTGCTTTAGTATGGCTTACAGAAATAATTTGCCTTGTACGGTGAATGATCCAGAAGAAAATTCTTGCCATTCTCAAAGCTTGGAAAAATAAAGCCTAGAACTAAAATGATGGGCATTGTTCAAAAGACTGAGGAAAAAAAGTTGTTTGCAGCAAGTACATCTTCTCACCTGTTCATAAAATTCACTGACGATGCCCTCTGTCCACTGTAGATGTAAGTCTTTGCATTTGGCTGGGCCATTGATATCGGCCAGTTTAATGCACATCTGACAAACCAATAATCGGTCATTCTCGTTTGTCCAATCAATGCCCACGTCGTCATTCACCTGGCAGATAACAGGTTATTAGAGTGAAGTATCTGAAACTGTTGCAGTCAAGCATAATACAAGGCAATTCCAAAGGTGGACGTGATACACACTGCACAGGAACCCTTTCCTCTGTAGAGATTATTATCTGGGTGTACTATGTATTTCCTTGGTTTACCACTACCATCTTCTACGATTCTTTTTTTTAACTTCCCTATCCATTTATAGAATGGGATAGTCTTGGGACTGGAAGTCATTCTTTTATCTGCAACCTTCTTGGTGGCAGCTCATTTCTGATATGACTTGGTAGAAGGAAGAACACTTCATCTACCAAGGAGTTTGGGACCATTCTGCTGGAGAAAGGCTAGCTTCAGGGATTCAAAGCCCTACCATCTGTCCACCACAGTAGTTGGATTTGAACAATTTTCTCATTTTTAACCAAGAATGTATTTATTCTTCCCTCCATTAGGTAAGCTTTGCAATTCTGAAAATATTGCAACACCTCTGTCTGAATGTGATATTAAATGCAGCGTCCCCACATATTTAAGTTCATCTGTCCCCAAAACATTAACTGCAGGTGCATCTTCTAATTTTCTTCAGGACTGCAAATTCAAGGTGATTGAGTTCTTCATAGAATCGCAGGGTTGGATAGGAGGTCTTCTACTACACCCCCTTGCCAAGGGCAGGAACCCTGAGATCATCCCAGGCTAATAGCCTGAAAACCTCCAGTGATAGAGCATCCATGACTCGAGGAGGCACTGCTTAAGAGTTCTCGCAGTCAGGAAATTCCTCCTTACTTTGAGTTTGGATCTCCCTCTGTAAAGCTTCCGGCCATTGGTTCTTGTCCTGCCCTCAAGCATTACAGAGAATAAATCCAGACCCAATGTCTTGTGACACCCCTTTGAGTACTGGAAGGCTACTGTCATGTCCTTCCCTTCTTTAGGCTAAACATCCCAAGTTGTTTTAATCAGTCTTCATAGGATTTGGCCTCCAATCCACTCACCCTCTTCTACTCTTCTCCGCGCACTTTCTTTACTAGTGTGAGTAGCTTAGTTCCAGATTATTATTCTTGCAACATCACATGATTAAGCCATGCTATTTATCCAATATCCTCCCCCCTTTGCTGATTTTCTAGGCCCTTAGTATAAAGATTTGAACCTTAATAAGACACAGGGATTGAGTTTACCTTGGCATTGAATTTAGCTACAAAATCAAAGTGCTTCTTCAGATCAGTGGCCAAAATGGCCTCAATGACAAGGAATCGGAAGTGCTTGAACTCCACATGATCAAGATGGACTAAGAAGTTATATTCTGGCCTGGACATGAAAAGGTTCCATGCAGCAGCAGCGTGATGGTTCTCCAGAACAGAGCGGTCATTATATAGAACAGCCTACATAGAGAGATGGAGAGGATATTTGTTTCCAAAAGATCTGAAAGATGGCAGGATTGCTGTAACTAAATAAATGATATGCATTCCCCAAATTAGCCACATTTGAAGAAAGGGAATTTGCTTTAGAACTTATTTTTAAAAAGAACAGAATGTTGGCGAAACTCTCAGGGATGGACAACAGTGATTGTGTACTTATTTAACAGTGAGGCTAAGGTTTGCATGTGAACATCCTGACTTTTACTGAACAATCATCTCTCTAGTGGTCTGCAAGTTCCTGGCTTCCTCTATTTCTATCAAATCCCAAAGGAAAGCATCAGATTTTGTTCAAATGCTTTTAAAGTCATATAAGTATTTCTGTAAGCTGTCTAGCTACTAAAATAGTTGGCATATGAATACCTAAGCAAACATACACACAAACACCTCCCATGGTACAACTGTGGAAGGAATCCTGCCTCTGAAAAATTGTTAGACAATTTCTCTTTCTCCTAGAGAAATCACCCACTCAATTTCTGTCCATAAAGTGGGTGGAGAATCTGGTCCCAAGAAAGCAGCACAAATGGGTTTACTAAGCTCATGGAGAGCTACATACAGGTAGTCCTTACTGAGGTACGGTAATTGAGACCGGCAACTCCATTGCTAAGCAACGTGGTTGTAAAGTGAGATGTCATGTGACCATGCTACTTAGCAACAGCAGTTCTGGCACCGGTCAAGTCCCACTCATTCAGTACCGCTTAACTTCAAATGGTCGCTGAATGAGTGGTCATTAGGTGAGGACTACCTGGTGAATTCCAGGTAGTCCTTGCCTAATTTTCTGAATTACTAATTGTATATAACAGTTAAGCCGCTCCATACATCTGATGAACTGAGCAGCTCATAAAAGCTTATGCCTTATAATAAAATTTGTTAGTCTGAAAGAGTGCTACCAGGCTCTTTCTGATTTTTAGTTGTACAAGCATGATGTTCCCTTAATCCCACCCCACTTACCTGAGGAGCACTGGTTGCTACCAAGAAGGCATTGGTTCTCCCAGGATGATCATAGTCATGCATGGCAGCAGCTACATAGAGGGCCATCAGTTCAAGTGATGGGATGTTGCCAGCCAAGCACCCATAGCTGTCATCTGTTGGCGTGTATGTTTTTGACAACACGTATCCCAGATGGCCATGAGTGATCCCACTATCTGAATCTGGGCAGAAAATCAGGTCATTCAGTGAGTGTTCCTTACAGAGGCAATATTTCTGTGTTCTGTTTTGGGCTCACTAACCTGGCTTAATTAAGCATGCTGTTTTACAAGGGGTCTAGTCAGAGTCAGCTCTAGAATTATGACAAAATGGCTCCTTCTACCACCATCACCAAGGAGATGCACCTGTGCAAACAGCTGGATGCACCTGCAGTTTGACCTACTCAATGTATATGATTCTCAGCTGCAAGCATTAAGGAGGCTGGAGCAGCAATGATTTATATGAATTGATCCGAGCTTGTGGAGCGCCTAATGTAGTTAAACACAATTTGTGATAGCTCCAACCAACATGGTCCATGGAAAGAACACTGGGAGCATCCTCAGCAATATTTGAAGGACCATGTGCTTCCAACACCTGCTCTCGAACCTAAATTAGAACTCTATATGTTCTACTGGCTTGAGGTAACAGCATGGGCTTTGTGCAGTGAATTGTGGACAGTGTTCCATACATAGGTAAGGCCAGAACCCAAATGGGGAGACTTTTAATGAGTGAAACAGGTGCCCTTAAAATCCCCATACCTCCCCTAAAGACTTTTGGCCCTGTTCACTATTGGGAGCTCTGTAGGGTTTCAAAAGGAGTGTTTGGTGGGGCTGCCTGCTCTGTGAAACTCATTCTGAAGATACAACCGCTACAGAAGAGTCACAGCTACCATCCCAGCTATTGTGGAAGTGGAATCTCTCTCTTAATATTCATTCAAGATGTTGGGTAATATACAGTCCTGACGTGCAAACAAAGTATCTAATTGAGTGGAACTGGTACTAAATACTGGAATTGTATATTTGCGCATTTAACATGCAGAGTTACAATAAGACTGTCTAGTGGGACGGCCTGAACACAGCAAAATGCTGGCTCAGACAATTATCACCTTGCTCCACATACAAACCATGTACATACATAGCCATGGTGCTAGTGTAGTAAGAAGTAGGAAAGAATAAATCAAAGAAGCTAAAGATGTAAGCTAAGAAAAGGAGACACAGATAAATCTAGTTTACCCCACCACTATTCGTAGTAACTTTCTATCCCTGCACATGATACCTGCTTCCTGTATGTCTGTGTATGGCTTCATACGTTCCCTTTTATTCTTTAGCTTCCTAAATGTGTTCACTACATACCCAACTTAATTATTTAGATGTTTTATACGGCCGCCCAACTCATGTGACCATGATTCTGGGCAGTGTACATCAATAAAACTAAAAGAAAACCCAAATTAGAATTAATTGATATGTATGTTGGCTTTCATAGCAGTCTTCAGATTAGAGATCCTGGCTTGTATAGAATAGCATGAGAAAGCTTGGGATAAAACTGGACTTTGGTTGTGCTTGTGGAAAACTAATCAAAACGTGCCCAAACTGGCCAACACTGTCGTTACTTTTACCAGAAAATGCTGCAGGTGTCATGGGTATGATTGCCCACTAACATTTTCTCTATCTCATTAGAAAAAGGTTACCATATGTCAAAGTATCACACACACATACAACCTGTCTAGTAATCCACACTAACAAAACATCAACAATACTGCGCCAAGGAGTTGGGTTCAGGGTAGCCAGACATTCTTATAATGTTACCTGAATCACTGGCTGACCCATGGTCATTAATCACAGTTGGGAGGCCTGGAATGGGCTGGGAAGAAAGGTACCAGACAGCATGGAGGACATCAGTGGCATGGATCCGGTTATGATCTGTTAAAACAGAGACAGGTTAGTTGTACTTGGAGGGTAGGTTGGGAGGTAACAGCACCATCTATTGGCCACAGATGAGAATGTATGCTTATTCCTGGCTCCCATCTCTGAGAACCAAAGTCAACTGCTGATGTAAAGAGCAATGTTAAAATTTATCTACAGCATTCTAACATGGGTGCCCCACAGGATTGACTGTCTTTTTGGATGGAGTTCAGGAGACACAAAAACTTTGGCCCATTCAATAGAGTTTGGCAATCATCTGTTGATTAAAACATTCAGAATTTTCCCCCCCATACTTGAATTGTGGCTTTATTTAGTTCTTTTCTTATACAGATAGTCCCCAGCTTAGGAACGAGTTTCCAAGTTTCTGGTTTCCAAGGACTGTCCTCAAGTCGAATGTAAGCCGGAACAGTATTATTGTATAATACTGTATAAGTAGTATTGGGCAATCAATCCAAATCACTGTGTAACTTGCATCATTGTGTATTTAACTCAAATTTTGCTACAATAGGTTCCGTTCTTAACTATGGGTTGTCTGTAAACCAGACATTCTTAACCCAGGGACTACCTGTATATACATTTTACTGGGATTGCTGTTTTACTCGCTTTTACTTACTTGGTTCCCCTTGTTATGTCCTTATGAAACATACATTGACAGATAAATGATTATGTGAATTTTAAGGAGGTTAGTCTAAGTTTAAATAAAGGGTGCTTTTTTAAAAAAAAAATCACAACTGCCATCTGCTGAGACTGATAGATGAAGATACTCTTATTCAAAAAGGTGAGTTTTCACTGATGAATTACTAAAACAGTCCTCTTGCTAATTGGATTATTTTAAAATGTTATTGTACTACACACTGTATAGATTTCTTTTTAATAATATCCAATGGTTTTATTTTTAAAAAACTTTTTTGGAAGTAACCTGCTGTGGACACTGAAGAAAAACAGTGTGTGATATGATTAAAAAATAAAAGAATCAGCAATGAATGCTATTATACTTACAAGGTATCTCTCGATATCCACACTCTAAGGCATGGAAATAGTTCATAAACTCTCGCACAGGAATTTTAAAAGTTTCAAAGAGGCCCATGTCCTCAAAGAGCCTGTAGGATACCTGGAAAATAAAATAAAACAGAAGGAACCATAATTCTTAGAACTTGGTTTGGCTATCTTTGACATGTAGCATCTAGATCTTCAGAATATCTCCAAGCTTAAACCAGCCTTGTTCCATTTAGGAACAGTATTTGCTCTGCCTTCAATCTATAGGTAGTCCTCGACTTACAACCATTTGTTTAGTGACCATTCAAAGTTACAATGGTGCTGAAAAAGTGACTTATGACCAGTCCTTGCACTTATGACCATCGCAACGTCCCCATGGTCATGTATTTACAATGGTTGCAGCACTGCATTCCTGGGGTCATGTGATCGCCATTTGCGACCTTCCCAGCCAGCTTCCGACAAGCCAAATCAATAGGGAACCATGTAATTCACTTAACAACTGTGTGATTTATTTAATGACCATGGTGATTTGCTTACCAACCACCACAAAAAATGTTGCAAGGGTGCAGTCACATAATGCCTTGCTTAACGACTGCACCACTTAACGATGAATTTTCCAGTCCCTACTGTGGTTGTAACTTGAGGACTACCTGTGTAAAGGTTCTGGTGGGAACTTTGTACAATTTAGAGAAGAAGAACAACCAATATTGGAGTTATACACAGAACATAGGTAACTCTACCCATTTTGGGTTCTAGGGATGCCCCCTGCTGGAATATTTGAGATAAAAATGGTTTAACAGCCATAGCACCCTTGCTGTAGTTGTCCAGAGGCACATCGCACTGAGCCATTATGTCTTGGCTTTGTTTGGGGATGGTATATAATACTGCACAAACCTAGCTACTGTGATTTGTAAAGCAGGCTTGATAACAGGAAGGACAACTTGTGGCTGCAATTGGCTCACAAATCTTAACTGATTCACCTCTCTTGAGATGTCCAGAATGTTATCCCTAGATTTCATACAATCTCACATGAGGATCTTGCCATCATGTGCCTTCCTGTCTGAGATCTCATTCAGCAATACACATATCCCACCAGATATGGGGATCATGCAATTTTGGGGCTATTGAATGGTTTTGTTTTGTTTTTAAATTTAACGTTGGTGTTCTGCAGATGCTGCCTATGATCCGACTTCTTGATTAAGGCTTTTGGCTTCCTCCTGGTGGAACAAATTTCCTAGGGGACTGTGCGGAACAAGCCATCCTTCCTAGGCTGTCCTTAGTTCCCTTGTGCGCAAGAACAGGGAAGTTAATAGTCCGTATCTCTTCAGTCTGGCTACAAATCATTACCAAGTTCTTATTTGCAGTTACCACCTCCCAGAATTTAATTCCAGCAGGATTTCCTAGAATCTAACCCACTGGCTGAGAAGCTGCTATTTTCTTTTTTGAGAGAGGAAGCAGGGAAGTTAACTTTAATTTTAAATGATGTCTGGCTTTAATCTTTCCAGTGGCAGCCTTCCATGCTGTCCCCTCCTTTCTCAGCAAAACTTGTTATATCCCTCTGGGGGCATCATTAGGCTAACAGTAAGTGAAAATTAAGGCATTATCTAAGGACCCAGCTTGCCCCAAAGCAGAATGTAGCTAGAGTTTGCTCTTCCGACTCCCCATTTCTGCATGGAGCGTGCATTTCAAAAAATTATTTTTGCAAATTGGCCTGTGCTAGAACCCAAAGCTTCCCATGATATTGTGTGGGCCACTTTCTTTTTAAAACAGATTCTAAACCACTGTTTTAAATGGAGTTTGGTAGCACCTTTTCTGACTAACAAATTTTAGTTGGAAAAATTTTAGCACCTTTTCATAAAATGTGTTAGTTGGAAAAGGTGCTACCCAACTCCTTCTGATTTTTTGCCACCATAGACTAACATGGCGCTTCTTCTACAACGTAGCATCCTTTACAAGATACACAGTTGGTTTCTCAAACATCCTTCAACAGGGCACGTTGCCACTGCCTAACAAAAGCCAAAGATCTCAGACAAAGGGAGAGAAATATGATACTGTGGTTCTTCCTTCCTTTCCTTACATTTCAGTCTACATGGATCATGTATTTAATTCATTTCATTAATTTCTTTCACCCTTTCCCCAGCACAAATTGGGAAAGCAATTTCAACTGCAGAATGAGTCATTAAAAGCCCTAGGGGAACTTGCATTGCAACACTTTAAGGAGCTGATGGATGTACCAGGTAGTCCTCGTTTAATGACCCTAATTGGCATTGCTAAGTGAAGTGGTCACTAAGTGGGAAATCACATGGCCATGACTGATTTCTCACTGCAGGCACAATTGCATTGGTTTTGATGTGTAGAAGAGCAAATTCTGGGAGTTGAAGTCTACACATCTTAAAGTTGATAAGGTTGAGAAACCCTGGTCTAGAAAATCTGAGAGTGGAAACCCTCCAGCAGCTTCATTAAGAGGAAGCCAATGTTACAGAGACAGTAACTGTAATATGCTACCAGGATTTTATCCTAGTAAATGGATCTAATTCTTCTGTTTGGGTAGCACATTTCCCAAACGTGAATGGGATGGCTTTCTTTTTCTAATATATAGCAACAGAAACTTTCTTCCTGAGTTCATACATATGGCTCAGCCAGGATTTTTAATCCTGGCTTTTCAGACAAGCCACAATGGCTAGGTTTGCACAAATCAGCAAGCTGTAATAGTTGATTCCCACATAATGCTGGAACAGAAAGAAATCAATCACTTTATTCAAATAGCTTTGGATTAGAATCTGTGCTCTAGTTCTCACCCTCATTCCCACTCCATAAGTGTGCATTACAAAAAGCAAAACTCTGGTGTGAATCCTGCAGAACACCCTCTTTCTTACCTGACTTAAAATCCGGCCACATTTCCTGCCAGTCTTGTCTACCAAATCAAAAATTGGGAAATTCCAATTGTTTAGCTGCTCCATTAGCGGATCCAAATTGTCCATTATTAGAGGCTCGGGGGCAAGGATAGGTTTGTCCTGTAACAAACACATTCCAAATGTTAAAAAAAAAAAAAACTCTGAAAAGGGTAGGGTTCTTCGACTTCTTAGTGTTGTAATCCCAAAGTTTCCATCTTGTACTAGAAATATGACAGGAGCTATATAATATACACAAGATCTAGGAAAGTTGTTATCCTCTTCCCAATCAATTAAATAAACCCTTCCTAATCTGTGCTCCAAGCTGTCAAGAAATTGTAGGAGACAACCAGATGGGAGAAGTTAAAATTAAATGAATTACAATTTATGAAAAAAATAACCTTTGCCAAAAGGAAAATGGACCAAAAACGTTGATCCAGCTCTCAAAGATCTTCAGGGTACCATTCTCTGAGCAGGCTAAATTTTGAAGATTCCTAGTTTTAAACTAGTTTTCTTTACATCTGAAATGGGAAAGTGTGGTTTAATCTCAGCTTACAAACCAAGATCTGAAAGCAAGATCTGATTTGATTGAGAAAGTACCAGGCTATAATTACTTCTAATAATGAGTAAAATGAATCTGACACTTTCTCAAATTTAATGTAACAGTGTTCCTCTGTAGCTACAGAGGAACACCCTTAACTAGATCTAATGGCTGCATTTGTGCAAAGTGCAAATTTTAGTTAGGTTTAGTTTTGATTTTTGTTTTTTAATGAATTAAGACTATGGTGCAAGCTCAATTCATTGATTTGGTTCATCACCTAATGCACTGCCATTTCTAAGGCAGAAAATGAGTTTTGGTAACTTGTTTAGACACATTTTGCAAGTATAGCCGTAAGTAGTAATTACTAGTTATAACGCCTTGTTGCAATTACAGAGATTTGATCTTGGAAGTTGTAATGATTCCCAAAGTTAATTCCTAGGAAAAAGAGAAACAACTTAGTGTTTTCCAGATGTTTTGGATTTAAACTTCCTTAACTCACAGCCAGTCTGGCAAATAGTCAGGGGTTATGGGAACTGTAGTTCAAAATATCAGCAGGGCACCCAGTTGTTGCCTATTCCTTTCCTACGGGGTCTGACGGATACTATGCTAGCCTTCTTCTCCTTCTCTTTCCTTCTCTTCTTCTTCCTCCCCCCCCCCCATATGATTATTCTCCCCTTGACTGTTTTGGTGCATCAAAATGTAGTATAAAACAGTACTGTTAAAGGAAAATGTTGAAAGACCCAAACTTAGTAGTCTTTTAGACCTGAAAAAGGTGCAGAAATTTGGACATTCTTTCTTTCTGCTCTCTTTGGAAGGTGAAGGAGAATGTAACTGACTAATTAGTGTTGAAATCCACAGATGAAAATGAAACCTCTCCATCAAAATTCCAAGAGTGCGTTGGAGTCACCCCCTTTACCATAGGAAAAACATAGAAAAGGAAGTGGTGGTGAGTTCTCTCTTAAAGCATGTTACGATATGTTCTTTCAGCAGATGGTACCAAGCTCAAACTATCACATAGGTTACCATGTGGCATAGGGACTGTTGGATAGTTGGTGAAGCTACTCTCCTCAAAGAGAACCCACTGTCAATCTCCAGAGATTTTCCCCAGAGATTTTCAGCCATACAGTTCTTTGGTGTCAGAGTCTTGTCCTTTGACTTTTCTGAGCAGTCAAGGGACACTAATTTGGCTCTATGAAAGAAGACAACTGAAGAAGAGAGTCACAGAAACCAAACTGCCCAAGGAACTTGGAACCAGCACCACCCTACTTACTTACTTATGCAATTTCTATAGCCGCCCATCTCAATCCAAGTGACTCTATCCAGGTAAAAAAGGAGAACAGCTAGTAGGGCTTGAGAAGACCTTGGAGAGGTAGTGCTAAGCAGAAGATGTTCTGGCCTTGCAGACTGCTATTGGAATACCATCTATGGAGGAGTTTTATGTTCACAAGTTGAGCAAAATCAAGAGGTCTTGCTTAGTTAGAAAGAAAAAAGAGCAGCTGGCAGAACCACCCCAGGATAAGAGTTATTGCTGCTGTTGTTAGTCTGAATTCAAATTAGGTCAGAAAGTGAAGGGTTCAGAGACAAAGTCTATTTTCTGAATTTCCAAGATCCCTTGGGAGTCCTGCAGACCTTAAGTGTGACCCCCAGAAATCTCCCAATTCTCCAAATCCAATGTGAAAGGGAAGAGGAAAAATTACAAAATGCTGGAGAATAGGGGATGCAACAACTCATTTCAAATCCCAAATGATTCAGAATCAAAGCACCCTATTCGGGGGCAAAATAGGGTGGAGGGTTTTTTTTGTTTTTTTTTTGAGCTTCATGTGTATTGTTCTGACCTTCTCAAATTCTTCCCGTGTTATTCTCACTGAAAGGGTTCCAAGCTCCAAACACTTCTAGAATGGGCAGAACAGTACTGCAAGATTTGGGGTGAGGTGGGAACAGCTATTTTGAACTCAAAATGGAGTGTCGGACGTGTTTCAAATTCAAAATGTTTTGCACACCATGACTGGTGAGTAATCAAACATATATGTAATGTTATATAACACGCCTAGATGTAGTGTGACAGGCTGTCTTCAGGCTCTGGGAAGATGATTGGAGGTTCAAACAATGAATTTCATTGAGCCCCTCTGTAGAAGAGAATGCATTTTAAATCTGTTTCAAGAGATCATCAAGAGTTGACCACGAAGATGAACTCATTGCTAGAGCTGTGCACCATTAACATCACCCCATGTAAACTGTCATCTTTACAGAGCATATTGGCCAAATTTAAAGAAAACTGCCACATTTTGCCATCGTTGGTACTGATGCCTAATTAGCCAGTCCTTGTGCTGAACTTGTTGGACGAGACAGTGAAAATCCACAGCAGTGTTTTATACTGAATCTTGTATATGGCTGATTGTCCATATTTCCTAAGGGCTATCAGTTGATGCAGTGTACAAAATTGATTCAAATCCAGTTACTGGCTGTCAAGTTTGTTATTGCGAAACACTGGAAAATTAAAATTTATTTCCCATTAGACCGATGGCTTTTGAAAATGTAGGGAATAGCTGTGGCTGAAAAACTGACTCAGAAATGAGCTTTGAAAAATCTATAACAAAGGGTATTTTCCTCCAATCTGGTCTCTATTTATTAGCTACATGAAAAATATTTTTCCTAATAGATTATCTGTGTCTGTACAAGTGTCATTCTGGACAGAAATATTGAGTACAGATGTCTATTATGTTTGTACTTGTCTTTAATTAAAAGAATTTTTATTCTTTCCTCTTTCCTTCAGTTGTTTCTGTTTTTGTCATTGGCTTATTTATCTTTAGTGGAAAATATGTGGGGAATGTTGGGATCTTGGTGTTCACTAAGGTTGGCCTTCTTGCAAGCGTTTCATTATCAAACTAGGTGGCACATGGTGGTGGACTTTACTGGCTTTATGCATGTGGCAGCTTGTCCTACCGGTCTTGATCAGAGTTGCTGTATTATGTGTGCCTGTTTCTGATCCGCCTACTGGTTCAGTTGGCTGTACTGTTTTCATCTTAGATTGTTGTGTTGTTTTTTCCCTTACATACGTGTTGATTGTTGGGTGTGTGACAAGGAAGATGTGCCCCTGGCTTTCTTCTTCGGCCTTTATTTGTTCTGAGTAGTTTGTAGACACGGTTCATAGCGAAGACAGTTTGCTAATCAAACGTTTGCAAGGAGAAAACCAAGCTCAGTGAACACCAAGTCCCTAACATTATTTATCTTTTGAATTCTGTAATTCAAAAGATAAATAATCAATATATGCTTTTTCCCCAAATTGCCAACTTGGATTCTTGCACCATTCCTGGGAGTTTATTAGCAATGAGCTAAATGTGGATATTTATGAGCTTAATTTAGGCCACCTGGGAACTCTTGAGCAATTGTTCATGACTGTTTCAAATTATTTCAATCTTCCATCTTTCAAACTATTTTTCTCCATTTCTATGATAGCTTTTATGGATATTGCTTAGAATATTTCTTTTTGACTTTATTTCTAATTCTTCCAGACCACAATATCGCACAATATTCTGGCATTTTACAGCGTAAAAACAAAACACAGTAACAGTAAATAAAGCAATGAAAAGAAGTTAAATATTAATCCCAATAGGTTCCTGACCTCAATGGCTATCTATATATCTCTGCAATGGTACCAATCTAAACACCTAACTGGAATAGAAAATCCACCGATGTCTTATTTTTATCCTATACAGGTAGTCCTTGACTTATGACCATTCAAAGTTATGATGGCGCTGAACAATGGGACTTATGACTGGTCCCCGAAATTACGGCTGTTGCAGTGCCCCTGCAGTCACAGGATAAGAATTTGGGTACTTAAGACTTCAGGGGCGCTTCAACTTCCCCCACCCACATATTTCCCCCCCATCTATGCCCTTTTGGCCTCCTGCACTCCACGACCCCTGCTGCCCTAGCTGACCTTTGCCATCGTCTTGCTCCCGCTGCTGACAAGGCAGCTGCTGGCCGCACAAGGCTTTCTTCCCAAGGTCGTGCACAGTGGTTTCCTCATAAGACCTGGGGAAGATAGCCTCACATGGCCAGCAGCTGCCTTGTGAGGGTGATTGTGGCTCGGCTGCAGCAGCTGGGCTTCCTGGGGCACAGCGGCTTTGCTTTTTGTTGCAGCTGGGTTTGCGCGGTGCAAAGGGGCTTCCTGGTGCACCACAACTCTGGGGCTTTTTGGAGCCCCAAAGCTGCAGTGTACCAGGAAGCCCCTTTGCGCTGCATGAAGCTCAGATTGGCCCAGCAGCATGGCGCACCAAGAAGCCCCTCATGTTCTTTCCCTGGCCTTCCTAAACTGGTGCCACACTGCAGCACCCCCAACTCATGCGCAGCCTGCATTGGCTCTCCCAGGCTTCCCCCACCCCACCGAGGCACTCCTGTTCTCCTTACCTGGGACTCCTGACTCTTCCTGCTTAAGGACCTGTGTGTCTTGGGGTTACAGTGGCAACCAGGACTGCCTGGGATTGCTGTCGCTAAGCAATGCAGTCACGTGATGTCGCGCTTTACGACTGCATCACTTAGTGATGGAAATTCTGGTCCAATTGTGGTCATAAGCTGAGGACTACCTGTACTTTGGGTGATCTCAAAAAGACTAAATAGGCTCAGACCTCATTAGCAAATGGATGGGAGACCACAAGGGAATACCAGGGCCAGGAAGCCCACCCCCTAGAGGTTGAGGTTAGCCTCAACCCTTACAGCCTTTTGAAAAGCCCTCAAAACATGGTTTTTTTTCATCAGGCCTGGGGAATCCTCTGGCAGCAGATAGCTCGCACATTGGTTGCACCATGTATGACATCTTAATTAGCCCTCTCATAATCTTGACTTTACCATAGTTATCAAAGTAAAATGAGGCATGGGATGGTGCTTACGAAGAATAATGACAACAAAACAAGTGAGGCGAGTACCAAAATGTAGTGCTGATGTTCAAGATTTCAGATGCCACGTTTTCTCTCTCCAGCCTCAAAGCTTCATACTCATCAATCAACACTCTAAAGTTACTGAGTATCTTCAGTATTCGTCTTGAATATTTTGACCTTCCCGCCCCAGAAGGTCCTCACTCTAAAACCTGACGATAACTGAGTGGTCTTCCAAGTCTTACTAGATTAGCAGAGAGCTTCAAGGAGCACAGCCATCATATGAAGCTGGTTTATAGCTTTTGATACAGACTGTACATTTCTGTGCTGTCTCCTACGATGGCAAGGCGAACCAACATGAACACTTGATTATTTAGAAACAGTTTATTAGACCACCAACTAGTGACGGTTTTTATGGTTTAGCAGCACATTTTCCCTTCCCTGCTCTGATGAGATTCTGTTAACCAGACGTGCACAAATGGAATTTTGGAATTTACTGGGGGCTTGTGGTATACAAATATGATAAACCCGGAACATGTGTCGAAACCCCAGATTGTGATTTATAAGCAAAACAAAATGAAAACAATGGACCTAATTTTTGCAAATGCTGATTTTGAGACTCTACAGCCCTTTCTGGCTAACAAATTGTCTTAGAAGGCATAAGCTTTCATAAGCTGCAGCAAACTTTACCAGATGCATGGAGTTGCTAAATTACTATAGGATTTAAATTGGGCTGAGGTTGGGGAGAAAGGAGGGGAAATCAGGTTGGTTATGTAGATGCAAGACAGATTACAAATATTGTACCAATTGTAATGTGTTAAAACCCATTGTGTTTATTGAGGCTTTCAGAAATAGCCTGAAACCTTTTCAGCAATCTCTCAATTGTCCTGTTAAAGTTTCTTGTTTCCAAAATGGCTACTTTGAGACCTGTAATGGACTGTCCTGGGAGGCTGTAATGCTCTGATATTACTTGGTCCTTGTTTTGAATCCTGATGTCAAACTCCTTCTAATTTTTGCCTACCATAGACTAAAACAGCTCTCCTCTTACAATGTCTACAGCCCCTTCTAAGTTTCTCAGGTACACTGGTAAGGCCTCATTACATTCAACAGTGGATGAGATACCTCCATGGGCAGCAAAGGATGCAAGATGATTGTCCCTGGGGCATACGTCCTGCAGAGCGGGCCCGCCTGTGTTTGCTCCTTGGCACAGTCTGTCTCATCCTCGTTCTGCACAATGTCACTGCTGTCGCTGTTATTTGTCTCGTAGTCAGAGGTGGCCTGTGCAGGATCATCTAAAATGGAAACCCAACTGCCTGTTACTGCTGCTAGAACCCAACTGAGAACAAAAACTGTTTCCTTGAACCACCCAAAGCTGATCCCTCAGCAATTCCATTTAAAAAAAAAAAACAGAATCCACCCACCCCAAGCTTGATTTTCAGGTGCAGTAGACGCCTACTTACCTGTCCTGTTCAAGGTATGTGCTGCACTGTCATTCCTATCCAATATTCCTTCTCTGGCGTCTGTTTGGCTATATGGTCTGCCGCAGCTGGAGAACAGATGGTATGATAGAAATTGGGTCAAACAGATGGAGAAGCAGCAAATGGATAGAAGGTGATCTATTACAATCATTAACTGATGTAACTCTACTCTCCTGTTCCTGATTCATATATCCAAACAGATTGCTTGATTAATGCTCACTCAATAAGGATAGTTGGGTCTATGCATTTATTTCTTCCCACAACTGGGGACAGGCTGGTCAGCCTAGAAATCCATAAATCTGTTCTCATGTTCTCATTAGTCTGCACTGTATTTCAAGAGAAATATGTAGAAAACCACAGGTTTTTTTTTTCACACACGTAATTTCCCTAACATCTGGATTTTGTACCCATTTACTGTATCTATGTTGGCAAACAATACTGTCTAACATACACACCAGTGTGCAACTGTTCCCAATGTACTCATTTTTGAATGCTGCTTTTAGACTAACGCTATTGCAAAACTGAGAAAATGCATGAACCAAAGGATAATTGTTCCAATCTGCCTCTTTAGAGTGAATTAAATCAGATTACTTCAAAACGTGCAGCAAATGGAATCCTTTTCTAATCCCTGTATGCAACACATAGTTGATACATAACAGAGGTGGAAAACATTTTTACTGTCAGGGGCCACACTTTTTAAAAAATCATTTGGCTTCCAAGAGTTGTAGAGGATGTAAATATGGTAATAAAAGGACATTGTACATACACACGTATACACAGAGCTGTTGATGAAGAGGCAAGGTGAAAGAAAAGCAAAGGCGAGAGGCAGAATTGTTTCAGAAGTGAAAACAGTCCTTCACCATCAGGAAAACGTTCAACACCATTTCTTGTGGACTGAACAAGGGATAAGACTTGTTTTATTACACTGCTACATATGCTAACTAGCTATATCTGTGTGCCTGTAATCCACAAAAGCATATGCAACAACAATTTTAAAAAAGCATTAAGGTGCTGTAGGACTGGTTTTGTTTTGCTCTTTAAGCCTAGTAAAGTTTAACATTCTTATTTTCTTTGCGCCTTGTAAAAATTGTGTAGCTGAATTTCTGCAGCCAAACATTGGTATCCATGGCTGGGGTGTTCTGAGATTGGAAAGAAAGAAAGAAAGAAAGAAAGAAAGAAAGAAAGAAAGAAAGAAAGAAAGGAAGGAAGGA